GCACCTTCGACCGGGACCAGGACCGCTGGGAGGAGAGCTGTGCAGAGATGTACGGGGGTGGCTGGTGGTACAACAGCTGCCAGGCGGCCAACCTCAATGGCATTTACTACCTGGGGGGCCACTACGACCCCAGGTACAACATTCCTTACGAGATCGAAAATGGCGTGGTCTGGCTGCCATTTAGAGCCTCTGACTATTCCCTCAAAACTGTTAGAATGAAAATCAGGCCCATAGAAACCCTGTAGAAAGACAGGCTTTTAATATATGTGCTATGACTACAAGTTGAAAAGATTTTTTTTTTATATGTATGTGCATGATGTACCTTTACCCTGTGAATTTGAAGGCACCTGAGGACATCTGTGGCTTAAAAAATAAACATTGATTAATTATCAACAAAGCAGTTCTTTCATCTTATTTATAACTGATAAACCTTCTCAAGGAAATACTGATTTTAAAACCCTTTTTATATAAACTTTGTCTATGTCTTTGACTATGTCTTTGTCTATGTCTATGTCTATGTCTTTGGCAGCTCACACCTTGACTGGAGATAAAAATATTTATAAATTGAATTATTTACTTTGTTTAAGAGTGCTAAAGAATTACATTCACCTTGAACTCCTGGCTCCACTAACATGAACCGTGAAAGTCTGATTGAGTTTGACGGTCATGCTTCTGGGCCATCTTTTCTCATTTCCATTCCAAGGGAAGCACAACAGCGGTGTGAGTCAGTTCTCAGGCAGTGCCACAGGTGGTTTGGGTTCTCACTTTTGTCACACACCTAACATGGAGTACACTTCGATAAATGATGCATGCATTTTAGGACTGACTTTTAAGGGTCTCCTAAGCTTTGATTTTACAAAGATGGAGGTAGACCTTCCATCCCATTGATGAATTCTAGGTAGTTTACCATGTATACTGTAGCTTCAGAGTAAGACCGTTCATGATAACTCATCAAAATACAACTCCCAAAACAGGCTATTATTTTCTAGTAACCACTGAAAGTTCATGACTGTAACCAGCACAAGCAAGATGAGGAGCACCTGGATGGCTATAGTATATACTTCATTGGTTTAGAATGTTTCTCGGCATATGTCAAACAAGGATTCTATTACAAATAAGGGATTTAACTCAGCAACTTGCTGACAGTGTGTTGTAAGGGTTTTTTAGCAAAAAGCTGGCTGCATGGTGTCATGGTTTAACCCTGGCTGGCAACTAAGCCCCACACAGCTGCTCGCTCACTCCCCCACAGTGGGATGGGGGAGAGAATCAGAAGAGTAAAAATGAGAAAACTCGTGGGTTGCGATCAAGACAGTTTAATAGGGAAAGTGAAAGCTGCACACACAAGCAAAGCAAAACAAGGGATTCATTCACTGCTTCCCACTGGCAGGCAGGTGTGCAGCCATATCCAGGAAAGCAGGGCTCCATCACACGTAACAGGTACTAGGGAAGACAAACGCCATCACTCTGAATGTTCCCCCTTTCCTCCTTCTTCCCCCAGCTTTATATGCTAAGCATGACATCATATGGTCTGGCATAGCCCTTGGGCCAGTTGGGGTCAGCTGTCCTGGCTGTGCCCCCTCCCAGCTTCTTGTGCACTTGGCAGAGCAGGGGAAGCTGAAAAGTCCTTGCCTGGTGTAAGCCCAGCAACAACTAAAGCATCAGTGAGTTATCAACATTCTTCTCATCCTAAATCCAAAGCACAGCGCTATGCCAGCTGCTAGGAAGAAAATTAACTCTGTCCCAGACAAAACCAGGACACGTGGAAAAACAGTTATATTGGTTACACAATATCACAATAATATGTGTATATACCTTTATACCTTATGACATAAAATTACACAAGTATTTACTCTGTTTAATATTTATCTGCTTCTATTGAGAAACAAGCACGAGCAAACTTCCTTGCCTCCAGTCTCACTGGCCAGCATGTTTCATACCATTTAGCTATCAAATACCATCAAAGCAGCTTAGTTTTAGCTTTTTTTCAGTGCTTCTCAAACACAGTCACTGTCTAACATTTTTGGAGAGTTTGCTCAAGAGCAAAGACATGTTTACAGCCATGTGTGGAGAAGTGCCTGTGCTTTTGGAAAAGGTGCTTCTGCTTTACGCCTTGTGTTTTCCCTGGCCTTAGCGGAAGCCTGCCTGTGGGGACGCTGAACATTTGTGCTCATGTAGTGAGATGCTGCCATGATGTCTCCTCCTTGTCCTCCTGGGGTCCACCGATTAAATCAACATGAGAGGTTTCAGATGGGAATCCATCTACCACTAGTGATCTGGGTCGCCTCCTTTGAGGAGGAAGGCAGTCCCCTCTGAGAGATGGCTGATTCTGCCTACCAGGGTTGGGAAGTCCTGTCTTTGGGACAACCTCTGCTCCAGGCTACAGAGGGAGTCTAGACCACTAGCTTTGATGAAATACCCCACCTCCACATACCCTATGACTGGAGCCACTAATTGCTTTAGTCTCACGATAGTGATTGTATGAAAGATGTACCAGCCAGGTCTTCTAATACTGTACTTTATTCCATGATAAAAGGATGTGGGGTGATGGAAGGGATATTAAGAGGCACAGTGTGTGAGCCAGGTCCCAGGAAAGAGGATATTTTATCCAGCATGTAGGATTTTAACTAAGTCACTGGTGACCTACCCATTTGTTAGATACTATCTTTTCATTTTATTCCTTCTAAACTTGTTACACAGGTAGTTCCCATACCTGTATGATACAAAAGAAAATGACCATCCCTGATTTGGTGGAATGTGTTTGCTTCTCCCTGGATAATGCACAAATACTTATCTGAAGAAAATTTTAGTTTTAAGGCTTTATTTAATTTTTAGAAAACATTTTAAAAGACTCTTCTCCCTCTTCAAGTGTGGTATAGAAGTCCTTCGCAAAAGAGTGACACAAGTTGGGGTTTGGGGTTTTTTTAATCAGCGTTATTCCATAGTAGTTACTTCTGTCTTGTGAACAAATTAAAAATGGAACAAAGTACCCTTGTGAGTTATTTTCATCAGTCAGATTTTCATTTACAATTGACATAGCTTTTCACTTCAGGTCACAATATGCTTGTACATACATATTTGCTTCTCATATGTAAACACAAGCCTGAATACCGTGCCTAAAAAGATAACCATGTACAAATATTACAAGAAAATCCCTGATCCTGTACATTTTGATGATGGTTAATGTGGAAAGTATGGCCTGATTTTCATGCTCATCTTCTTCATTGAATACCATGACCCTTTCCAGTTCATCCACACAACCCCATCATCTGTACCATGTTTTGACATATCCCAGCTGTAGGTCCCTCCCCAGTAGTATCTGCCATTGGGGTTGGCTGAGTGGCAGCGGTTGTACCACCATCCACCACCATCTTCTTTGGAGCACTGTTTTCTTGGATCTGCAGTTAACCTGATGAGGGAAAAGAAAGTGTTAAGAGCGACAGATGAACTGTAAGCAAACAGATCAACAGTGTACATACACCTGCCCCTGCACTGAAATTTTCAAACCATAATAAACATTTTAAGTCCTCTGAACTTTCTGTAAAAGATTGACCATCACAAGTGTGTGCTACACAGTGCACTTGGAAGATGAAGAAGCTAAGAAAAACAAGTCAAATTTTAGCTGCATCTCTTCGGGAATGTCATTTTAGTTTACCCATTGATAACTACAGTTACAGTTCATAATGATAATTGCAATATCAATGCAATTTAAAGATATAGAACAACGAGAGCTGTACATCTTCCCCAATCTAAACAATTCCTTTATTCATAAATAGGTAATCAGGTATTAAGATAAAGACATAGCACATAGTTTAGAGAAATAGTGCTAAATTAAGAACATTACAATTGAGCTCCTGTCTTCTGAGTAGGCAAAACTTTATTTTTCACATAGGACATGCTGCCTGCCTCTTTCCTCAGGACCCATTATGTGTAACTGGAGTGAGTACCAATATTCCTACTTCAGCAAGACAGCGGTCCTGAGCACTGCCACCATCAGTCTCAGACAATGAATATATTGCATCCAGATTTGCCAATTTGTCTATGGTAACATCATGCATGGAATCAATAAAATTCAGCATGCTTGCTTCTTACCTGGCTGTGGAGCAGCACTAACTTTTTACTAACAGTTTTACTTGCCCTTGACTATATCAGGGGAACTGCATGGACATTTGGCTGATAACTTGCAGGGATAAAACATATTTTAAGATACTATGAAATGCTGTGTAAACTAACAGCAAATTAGAGTAGTAGTCTATACTCAGCTCTATTTTAAGCTCTATTTTTATTTTAAATGTCTAATGCAAGTACGTACCATCCATCATTGTCTCTGTCGTAAGTACTGAAGAACATGCCGTTGTGAATTGTCATGGTCCTGTTTTCTCCGTGCAACTGTGAAGCTCCTTCCATTAGCGCATTGCCCGCATTGCCATTGTATTTACTAACTGAAAGCTGATACTTATTTCCTTCATTCTGAATGGTGAAACCTCCATAATGAGCTGATACTTTATCGCCATTCCAGTCCTCCATTTCAATTAAAACTTCAGTGGGCCCTATTTTGGTAAGCTGGCTGATCTTGTCATTTCCAAGCCAATATTCACCTGAGAAGCAACAAGTGAGAGTTGTGTGAAAGAAAGTTCACAATATACTTCATGGCAACTTTATGATTTATAGGTCTGCCAGAGTGGATTAGTTAATTCTAAAAAATCAATGAGCTTCAAGAAATACAAGAAAACAGTTTCAATAAGAAAAGTTCTTTGTCTTTCACTCTCAGCATTTTACCTGGTGTATCACAGTAGTTCTTCCCTCCGCTCTTTGCAATATTTCCAAATCCTTTCTTATATTGATCCCATACTCTTCCGAAATTAACACTGCCGTCCTGGCGGTTCTGAATCAAAGTCCAGCCTGCAGGAGGGGCAGTATTTAGGTTAAATTGCCATTGAGAAAGGAGCATGAAATGTTCAGATACAGCCCTTCTATCTTCATCTTAGGGTGAGCAGAGCACATGGCTCCCCTGCAGCAGGTTTCAGTTTTCACTGCTTATGAGCTCAGCCTTGCCCCTTTTACTCACATTCAAGTAGCACCTTGATCATGAGGAAAGGTGGAAAAAGCAGAACCTGAAGTACTGCCCTGGTCTTTTTTCTAGTGCACAGTAGCATGGTAAGAAATGAGCCAGGCCCTCCTTGCCTGCCCACTCATACGTTATTCATTCTCATCATAGTAAGATAAGTTTTTATCTACCAATCCCATCCCAACAACTTATTTCTGTTTTAATTATAGAAGTATCATACTGTGCATCTGAAGACGACCAGCAAGACTTTTCTGAATGAGTCAATCGGACCTAAGTCTTAAGTAATTACAAAAATTATAATTCCTTATTAGTTTGTATAAAATGCAAATTACAACTATGAATTTTTTGTAGCATCCACATTTCAACATTTTAACAACATAGCTATTTCACACTAACCTCCATTATCCGTTTTCATGTCACAGTATACTCTGTATGGATTGACGGAAGGATCTGGCTGGATGAGGTACATTTCGGATACCTCGCCTCCCTTCCTGTAAATATCCTCACATTCTGCAAGAATAAACCGGAGCGTCTGTTACTGAAAGAGCTCTGAGCTTCTTCAACAATCTCCTTACCATTTGGTTTGCTGGTTATAAGGCAACAATTTTAAAGATATATCTAATTCTACTTTCATTTTGATTTCTGTGATACATCATGCAAAAGAATCAGGGAAGAAATAACAGTGCACCTGCATTGTTCAACTGTACAGATAGGAATCTCTAAAAGTTCAACCTGAGTGATGGAAGACTGTATACTTTTCAATGTTTTTTTGAACTAGACAAGCTTGTGAAAGAAAAACTTTTCTTCACTGAAAAAACCCAAGGGGACAACTACGATAGTTGCAAATGTATCACCTCCACCTTACGAAGACCCTGAAGCACATATTTCTTTAAAATTCTACTGGCCATGAATGAAGACTGATACTGGGTAAGAGGATCTTTGGTCTGACCAGTACAGACATCCATAAAAGAATTCTTTCATTTAGGATCACCTTCCATCTTTTCTGCTATCCTAATCAATGACACAGGCTTCAGAGGAACATTCACACCAATCAAATGATGCATCTATCAATTTGCACAGTAGTATAAATGGGAGAAGAGGTGTTGTTATAGTTAAATGAGTACCTTTGCCTGAAACCACTGGAATGTTACAGGAAACAGTACATGGGGAACGGCAGTAGTCCACCTGGGTTGCAATGGCATTTTCCAGTTTCTGTATCTTTTTGTGTAAAGAATCCACAACTGCCCGGAGGACCCTGAGGTTAGATGGGATGTTATTGTCCACATTATCCTTTATATAATTATAATGCAATTCCACTTCTGTTCTGTACTGAGAAAGTACATTATCATTGTCTAGAAAAGGAAAAAGATGAAAAGCAGATTAGTTTTCAACATGTTTTCCAGTTATGAAATAATGAAGAGCAATCTGTAAGCACAATTTGAGAAGCCACTTCTTTCCTTAGCAGGGAGGAAGGATATGACTTTCTTCTGCTTACTTTTCCACAGGGTGCAAAAACTTTGCAGAGATTCTCAGGAAAGTGGTACATGTGTATTGTTATTTCTTTGATAGCTAGGAGATTTATCAGGGGTGCTATATTCTGCCAAAGAACTATAATTAGCTTCTTTCCAGGGAGCCATGGTGCCAAGCCAGGAGCTGGGCATAAAGGGATTGCATGGGCATTGGAAAGCAGGTAAGGGGGGAACACATGACCCTTATGTTTAGGGGCCTCATATGAATCTTGCTTTTGTATGAGATCCATTCCTTTGCCTCTCTCAAAGAATGTTTTTTAAGATTTAAGAGGACATGGTCATGGGACCCTTCTTTGCTAGATATTCCACTGTATTTTTAATTTATTTTAAGAAGTCCTATTAACAAGTAACAGTAGCAATGCCAATAGAACTGTAATACCATTTACACTAATAATTCATAGGAAGAGCATACCTTTTCTTTGTTTTTGCCTCTTTGTCAACTTATTGTCTATAACAGTCACGTATTCATAGAAAGTCGTAGAGGTTTCAGAGAGTCTGCTCACTTTGTCCTTTAGATCACGAACAACAGATTTCACATTTTTTTCCTGTTTTACCAGTGTCGTTTGCAGCTCACATCCAGTTGGACACAGCACTCCCTTAAAAAAAAACCAACAAAGGTCTGTGAACAAAAGTCAAGAAAAAAAGTTTCTAATCCCATCAGTGAATGACCATACCTTGGAATGCACTGAATAGTTCTTAATGTGAGACCAGATATTTAAGCATCTAGATAAGGACTCAAGACATTCAACTTCTACAAAGAAGCCGCAGTCTGAAGGGCAAGAAGGAGCCCTGAGTACCCCAGCAGAACTCTTCTGTGGAAGCTCTTGGGAAAAACCCTCTGTCTTCACACTTTTTTGGTCCACTATATGCTTTTCACTTATCTGCACTGTTAAATGTTCATGGTGTTAAGCCACCTGAACTATGATAAAAGCCTGTCAGGAACTACCTGGTGCCTGTGCATGTTTGTATCTACCCCTTTCCTCTATCACTAGCCTCAGAGAATCAACCATTTTCTCTACACCTTGTTCCATGTACCTCTCGTGAAATGGCCATATGATTCATTAAAAAATTATCATCTGCAACAAGTACTGTACCGTCAAGGACAAGTGTTTTAAAAGGAGGTGGGAAATTCTGAAGTCCCGTGAGAACCAAAATACCCAGGCAGCAGTGGGACTCTACCACAATCATGTATGCATTAAGCTTTAACAGACTTCATTTGTGAGCAAACCTCCACACTCAAATTTGCCCTCAGACACCAAGATGCCTCTCAACACCGTTACATGCTTGCATTTTCCAGCAAAGAGCACAGCAGGGACAGTGTGATAGACTACTGCAAGACAGCACAGGGTATGATGGATCTCAGCATGCTTGCAGACTCTACCGTAAGAGCTGGGGCAGTGACTGAGGGGAGACCATAGTTATGGTTTGAAACAAATTATAAGAAAGACAGGGGAGGTTATTTTTTTTGTCTCTAGGTTTCCTTGAGATTATCTGAAATTCAAGCCAGTGCTTCTGCAGAGATTTTTTCTGTCCCTCATGATAGCTACCTATGCAAAGCAATGGGGAAAGCACAGGCTAACCCACAGATACTTCCTTTCCTCATCTACGGTTCAAATCTCATCTCCCCGTCTTCGCTGCAGGCTGTCTGACTACGACTAACCCCCGAGACTCTGTGGCGATACTCTTACGAATGCAGTCCTACCAAACTCAAGCAAAAAGATGCAAAGTTGGGCTGCTTTAAATGAACGACCATCCCTTGTTTGGCAAAGAAAACTCCATGTTGGGCACACTAGAAGGAAAAGAACATTCTGTTATTAGCTGACTCTATAGGCAGACACCCACCAGCTCCTCTAGAGGATGCTTGCAGCCACCAGCGTCGGGGTAGATGATACGCTCTTTCTTGTCATCTGGTTTCACCCGCTTTGAAGGCCGGGGATGGTAGCCCCCTCCGCTGATGGGAGGTGCCACGGGTCGGAGGGTGGGGAACACTTCCCGCCTTTTGTCCAGGGGTCGGTGGCTTCGAATCCCGACCTGAGGGCTGGTGTCCTGCAAAGCCAGGGGGAGAGGAAACTCTCTGAATCTGGGATTGCTATTGTGAAATGCTATGCACAGGGTGGAGGCATCTGTTCAGCACTCTTTATTATTTTAAACAGCAAAGAAAACCATGAAATGGAATGAAAAATGCAATAATTGAAATATTACACCCACATCATGTAAAAGTCATTGCTGTGCCCTCCCTTGTAACACTCCCTCCACCTAGGTATCAACAAACTAAACAGCCTTCAAACCAAAGCAAAGCAATATTTCAATAGTTCATTCTGACCAAGAAATAAAGTTTATATATTTCAGAGCCACTAAGCACTATGAAACTTGGAGTAGTAGGATAAAGCAATTAGACACTCTTGGGTCTAAGAAGAATATTCATCATTACATTATCAGTGTCCCAGTTTTTCATTGGGCTACAGGAAAATTTGTGAGGTCTCAGAAAGCCAAATACGTCATCAGGTCCCAGGCCAGAAGCCAGCTATTAACTGACGGCATTAGCAAAACCATTCAGTAACATTTTTCAGGGTAGGCTTTTAGCACTACCTCTCATGCATACATTCCCCATCACTGCCAGAAATGAGAAAGTCTAAGAGGCTGAGCAAGGGAAGCAGGCTTTGTTCCTAAGTAGCTGTTGAAACTAAACCATTTGAATGAACAGTTGTTTGAAGAACTGGACCAAAATCTTCAACCATCTCCAATCCCACTCAGACTTAGCTACAAACAACAAACGTTTGTGAGGATCCAGGATCAGAGGCTTCAGGTAGTTTCAAAAGCAGGCAGCTTACAAATCACTAAATCGCTGAAAATTAATTAGCCTAGTAGTCTTATCAGTAGTCAATGTACAGACAGAAATGCTTAGATCGTATCACAGAAAAAAATCTCTGCGGATCACCGACCTACTTCATTTTTGCAGAGATTTTCAAAATATAAAAAATGTACTGAGATTATAAATTGTATTTCCCATTAAAATATTTTACTTAAACAAAACTAAATATAGGTTAAATTGTTATTTTAAATTGATTGATTGATAAAAAGGTTTTACTGTCTTTGAGACAGGACATGATTAATCACATATTTCTACTTTATTGCACCTGACAATTAATTAATTTTCTTCAACATCCTGTCAACATTAAATACATTCAGCTAAATAACTAATCTTACCATCACACATTCTTCATTCTCTACAGAGAAGGAAAAGAAATAGGAAGAAAACACATCCAAAACTAAAAAATATCTATTGTCCAGTTACATACACATGGAAAATAAAAGAAAGGTTATCTCTTTGAACACTTCAAGCAGAAAAAGAACATGCACTGGATCATTTGTGCCCACAGCTTCTACCTTAGCTAACTCACATAGGCTGAGTAGGACATGCATGCAACTAAAGAAAATTAGTAATTTTTACTATTATTATTATCATCATCATCATCATCATCATCATCACCATCATCATTAATTATGATCAGCATTACAACCTCCTCATCATAGTCAGCAGCGCTCTGGGATTTAACAAAGGGAACACAGAGCAGGAAGAGCAGGAGCAGTTTCATGGCGCTGACTTGCTTGAACAGCTCAGTGACCTTCTTCCACCAGCAGCTCTAGCAGGGAGAGGTCCTCCCCGTTCCTATATATACAGGCGAGAGCCCTCCTTTCCCAGCTTGACAGTGATAGGACCAACCCTTCCGAGCAATCACCATAGCTCTGTTAATATTCAACCTTTCTCTTCACTGCTTGCCTGAATACGTTTGTCGTTGAGCAATTTCTCTGGACAACTCTTATCTACGTGTCCCAGAGACCTCTGTTGATGCTGGCATCAAATAAGTGTTTTAATCCTTAAACATACCTCCTGCTCAGATTACACAAGGTTACCGTCTTCACCTTTTTAAACAGCTGAAAAGGTGAACATGCAAAGAAAAGAGACGTGGCCAGATATCACAGCCTGTGGCATGTCCTTTTTTTTCTCCCTCTGAAAATTTGAATATTTCAGAAATCTCATTTTAAATTTTAATTAAACTTGCATCATACAGATTGTTACATTCGTCTAGATAGTTCTGATGGTGCCTGGATAGGTATGCAAGCACTTGGGTCTCTTTAAGTAGAAGATAAAAAAAGAGTATATTGTGTTCGTTACATTAATAAATTTGCATCAAAACATTGTTTAGCTCTAATTAAAGATCAGATTAATACTATAAGCATAAAACGATGTTATTCTATTACTTTAGAAATATAACATTGTAAATTAATTAAAATAATTACATTTTACATTTTGATTTGCTGTTTTCCTTTTTCAATACAAACAGTATATGTCATAAACATTATCTAAATATTTTAAATAATCTTTTAAAAGAATACAGCATGAAGCTATTTGTAATCATAGTGGAAAACTCAGACATACTTTCTGATACTTTATTAGAATATGGCATATCACTGCACTCATACTAGCAGAGTTTTAACATCTCGGTGTCTGCATATCCTGTGATTTTCTTGTGCATTATAAATGATCATAACATACTGAATTAAATATAATGTGCTGAGTGAGGGCCAGCACACTTTTCCACAGTGATTCCTATCAATGTCTGAAGACATGAAGAGATGCAAAGCATGGGCTGAGGTTCCATTTCAAAGACCAACTTGATGGAGCAGGAGATTTTGTGATAAGCAGAGAAGAGAACAGTTAAAGTAGCTCAGTTTAGGCCTTTTTTCTGTATTTGTGCTGTTGTCAGGTTCTTGTAAACTAAATGAAGATTCCCGAAATATGAAAACTGTTTAACCTGACTGGTTTAATTATTAAACAGCTTGGACCAAAATCAGCTGTGGCTCAAGGAGCTCTTACTTCCCTGAATTTGAACCCTTGCATGAGGACATCACCAACACTATTAGATTTGGAAGAACACAAACTTCCACTTAGAGATGCTAGCCAAGATATTATCACTGATTCTGGACATCTCCTAACCTCAAACGCAGTTTTACCCCCATGTACCCCTGAGGGAAGTTCAGTCACCCTCATCTTACACATAAGGGACAAAGTGATGTTGAACCCTTGCCCAGGGCTTATGGATAGCTCTTGGTACAGTGGAAATGAAACAGGGTCTTCCTAGTCCTGAGCTAGAAATGTACTCTTAAATTACCGTGGCTCAGTCCAAACAAATCTTAATTAAACACACCATATTTGTCCTAAAGCCATTCTGAAACCATCGGCATGTTCTGCAGTAACTTATGGTGTCCTTCTTCAGGCATTACACCCCCCTGTGAAGAAACACAGCTGTGTCTCTGCAGAGGGTGTTGGGGACCGGATGGTGGGGGCTGGCACGGGAGCCCCCCAACCCTGCTGCGGAGTCCCAGAAGGGGAAACCCCCAGGCTTCATCTGCCTTCAGATGGGATTTCCCCTTTGAAACTCAGCCTTTGGCTCCCCCAGCTACAGCACTTTCCATTGGCTTCCCCAAGCTGTTGTGTCTCCCTGGGGATTTACCATGAACAGCTCCACACTTATGTCACACCACACCAGGTTTGCAGCTTTGTGTCAAATGAGCAGATGCCCCAGGATGGGGATCATGCTGCCACTCATCTGGCAAGCGGAGGCTTTGTCTACACTGAAAAGGTTTTGCCTGGAGAGTCTTATTTGAAAAAAAAACCCAGTCCAAATCTGGAACTGCATACAGAGCAACCTGTACTGGTAAACATAGGCTTATATAGAAAAAAACTTTTGGCAGCAGACTTTAATCTACGTTAGTTAGCATGCTGGTTATGAGATGTGATTTTTCTCTCACGCTTGCAACCATTAGAGTTAGGCTGACAGTTTCTAAGGATTGAATGAAGCCTTATGAACAACCAAAACCACAGCTTAAATTTCTTCTAAAAATTATATCAAAGAGGCTTTTTCTTCAAAACAGGACACCTCATCTTTTTTCCTTCATATTCCCTCCTCCAACTCATATGGTTAATGAGAAGCTGTTCCCGGACTTAATGTGGTAGCGATACCACAGCACACCTGCTTTTAGGAACTGTAATAACACAACATGGACCTGATGGTGTTCCAGGTCACCCCTTTGTACAGTATTTTTGTACTGAAAAGGCTCTTACTGGCAGAGGCGTATGTGTGTGTTTTTAAGAACGACTATTTGCTCGCTGCTGCTTGTGTTTGTTGAGCCCACAGTGTCTGTCAGTGGTGCAACCCTCTTGGACGAGTCACAGTTCAGAGGGGGGAACAGAACCTTCTTGGGCCACGATGAGCTGCAGTGTTTACTAAACTAACTTTAAAAATAGCAGTTGATTTAGAAATGTCCTTTTAAACAACTAGCGGTGTAATAGTGCCATACCATGAAAAGAATACTGTAAACTTAAATGTTTATCTCTGGTGAGCATTCTTCTTGCTTTTACCGGTAACAAATATTATTTCAAAGGTTTCTCGTAAATGAGAATTAATGCTATCTTGCTCTGGGAGCAAGCAAGTTCTTAAACATTAATGAGTGGAGCTGTTCACCTTGGCCTTAGAACAGCACTAACAGCACACACAACCTACTAGTCACCTTCTTTGAAGTAGCGATTTATAAAAAATTACATAGTTTTTATTTCCAGAATTTCAGATGTAGCTGGCATGCAAGAAGACATTAAATAGCTGCATACAACAACAACAAAAAATAATAAAGTGCATATCTTCATTAATATTGCTGACATGATTTATTGACGTTCTGGAACTAAATTTCACCTCCGACTAAATTTTCTAGAACAAAATGAAATTATTAATTTGTCCTCTGATTTTCTAAAGCATTACAAGGACACCAGGAAATAAGCTGAAGTTATAAATTTCTGAGGGGAATGTTTACTTGTGAAAAAATGAGAACAACTACAGGGCCAGGGTGAACACTAATGATAATAAACATCACACATGTGTGACGTTTTCTTACAAAAATATCAATGGAGATTTTTTTTCTTGGACTGCTACAAGCATCTATATTTCAAATTTGCTTTCCTTTAAAAAGGTGGTAAAAATAAGTCCGATTTCTCTTAACAGACAATAGAAAGGAAACAACTGTATCATGATATTTTGCGTTGCCAGAGATTAGCCCTTAAACCATTTCCGCACATCAACTCTACCAAGCAGTCAACCAGCCATTCTCCAGGCACACATTATTCTGGGTGTAAACTTTAAAAAACCCCAAACCTGTTTGAAATCCCTTGCGTCCAATATCTCTTTTTCAACCTTGTCTATCTCCAATCTAACCTCACCAGCCTGGGAGGATGCAACAGGCTTGCCCCATTTTGAAACACTGCCCTGTGGAGTTTGCACTCTAGGTTGTAATTTAAGCAAGGACGGATGATGCTCCCCTGCTTCGAGGTGCTGTGCTGACCTTTACTGGAGGCTCCAAAACCCAATGGGGATCCCCAGCATCACTGGTGGGATTACTGAAATAGGTTCTCATCTTAAACATGAAACCTGGCTGGCTTGGCTTGAAACGGAGCTGGCTGTGCCCCTCTGCCGTTGGTGGCACAGTGTAATGGACATCTCAGCCCCACTTCAACCCCAGGCCAGGAACTGCGAGCCGAAGCCACTTGGAGCACATTTCTAGCTATCACTGTATCTCAAATAACTAAACATAAACCACCAGCGCAGCTGCCAGAAATGATCCATCAGCTCTGGCAAGGAGAAGAGCTGGTCATTATGTCAAGCAGGCAATTCATGTGACAGAAATAATCCCAGGCTAATGCCATCCTGTGGCAAATAAAGAGGACAGGTTTGAACCAACAGATATTGCACTGGATTTTTTTTTTCCAAATCAGTTTGCAAACTGTTTGCTGCCCAGGCACACAGACAGATGTAGGAAGTGGCTGGTGTAGTGGTAAAGAGGAGCAGCATGCTGGTGGGGGCTGCAAACGATGTGCTTGCCCAATTCCAGCATTAGCTTGAGAGGACAAGTCTTCCCGAATTTAAGAGCAGATGAGCATATGAGAAGTTAAGTAGGTGCCTATCTGCAATTTGCACGCATGCATTTGATTGTTCTACGAGGAGCGGCTGAGGGAACTGGGGTTGTTCAGCCTGGAGAAGAGGAGGCTGAAGGGAGACCTTATCGCCCTCTACAACTGCCTGACAGGAGGCTGTAGCGAGGTGGGGGTCGGCCTCTTCTCCCTGGTAATGGGGGATAGGTGGGGGAAAAGGTAGACATTAGGAAAAACTTCTTCACCAAAAGGGCTGTCAGGCACTGGAATGGGCTGCCTAGGGAGGTGGTCGAGTCCCCATCCCTGGAGGTATTTAAAAGGACAGATGAGGTGCTTAGGGACAGGGTTTAGTGGTGGGATGGCAGGGTTAGGTTAAAGGTTGGACTCGATGATCTCAAAGGTCTTTTCCAACCAAAGTGATTCTATGATTCTGCTTATGAAGACAAGTGAAAAATCTGCTGGAATATCAGGATGCATTTTTGAACTCTCTGCCCTCCACTCCCTGCGCCCTGCCCCGAGACGCGGGGGCTGCCAGCTCGTTCACGCACAGCTTCAGCCTCCATCGAAAGGAGGTCCCGTGGACCTAAGCGATAGATACTAAAAGGGCAGTAGCCA